ATGAGGTGGATTGATTTAGTGACTGGGGTAATCGGGATGTGTGTGTCGGAGGCAGTGCTATTGGCACAGGATACAGCAGGGTTTAGATCTGTTGTACATAGGGTCGCTATGAGTCGCAAGCAACTCGACGGCACATAACAACAACAACAACAACAACAACGTGTGCTCTGACAACTGCCTCCTGGTCCAGGTCCAGGTTTCATGTGAGCACCATCAGGTGTTCTGGGATTCCCATTTTTCTCAAGGTTAGCCACAATTTCTTGTGATCTGCACAGTCAAATCACTTTCTGCAGACATGGACTACAGATAGACATTCATCTGGTGCTCTCTGCTTTCAGCCAAAATCCATCTGACATTGGCAATAATGCTGTTAGTTCCATGGTCTCTTCTAAACCTTGCCTATACTTCTGGTAGTCCTCTGTTGATAGTAGTTCTAGTTTTTGGATAATCTTCAGCAAGATTTTCTTTGAGTATGATATTAGTGATACTGTTCTGCAATTTCCACACTCTGTTAGTTCACTGATTTTTGAAAGGGGAATAAAAATGGATCTCGTCCAGTCAGCTGGCCAGATGGCTGTCCTCCAAATTTCTTGGTACAACTTGGTGAGCACCTCTAGGGCAGCATCTATTTGCTGAAATATGTTAGTTGGTATACTATAATTTCTTGGGGCCTTGTTTTCGCCAATTCCTTCAGAGCAGCTTGTACGTCTTCCTTCATCATCTTTGCCTCTTGGTCATATGCTGTTTCTTGAAGTTCATATGTGTCAGTCAATTCTTTTTGGTATAGTGACGCTCTGTACTCCTCCATCTTCTTTTGATGCATCCTGGATCATTCAATATTCTGCCCACAGCGTCTTTAAGTATTGCAACTCAAGGCTTGATTTTTTTTTAATTTTTTTTTTTTTTGGAGGGGGAATGTAACAATTTTATTGAAAGAAAAGTGCAATGAAATTTCTTGATAGCTAAAGAGAGGGAAACTTAGACACCAACCTTGACACACAGGACCAAGTGCAGTGTGGACGCTTTCTGGATGTTGTAGTCAGACAGGGTGTGTCCATCTTCCAGCTGTTTCTAACAAAGACCAACCTCTGATGGTCAGGGGGATGCCTTCCTTACCTTGGATCTTTGCCTTGACATTCTCAACGGTGCCACTTGGCTCAACCTCAAGAGTGATGGTCGTACTAGTTAGGATCTTCAGAAAGATCAGCATTCACCCTCTCAGACGAAGCACCAGGTGAAGGGTGGACTTTTTCTGGATATTGTAATCAAACAGGGTGTGCCCATCTTCATGCTGATTCCCACCAAAGATCAACCTGTGCTGGTCAGGAGGGATGCTCAAGGCTTGAATTTGTTCTTCAGTTTATTCAGCTTAAGAAATGTTGAACGAGTTCATCCTTTTTGATTTTCTGACTTGAGTTCTTCACAAATTTCATTATAATATATTGCTTTCTCTTGTCAAGCTGCCCTTTTAAATTTTCTGTTCAGCTTGTTGACTTCCTGATTTCGTCCCTTTCCGTTGGCTTCTTGGTGCTCTAGTGTGATATCCAAAGTCTCTTCTGACATCCATCTTGGTCTTTTCTTTCTCCTCTTTCTTTGTACTGACTTTTTGCATACTTCATGAGTGATATTCTTGATATCCTCCGATAGTTCATATGGTCTTTATTCATTAGGGTGTAAAGCATCAAATCTGTCTTAAATTGTTTTTTAAATTCAGGTGGGACAGATACATTATCAAATTTTGGATCTTGTGGATTTGATTTCATTTTCTTTAGCTTACTTTGAACTTGCATATAAGTAGTTGATGTTCTATTCCACAGTCAGCAGATGGCAGATTTCACAGCTGCTATTGAGCTTCTCCAATGATTCTCTCCACAGATGCAATAAATCTGATTCCTGAGTAGGCCATCTGGTGAGGTCCATGTGGACAGCCATTGTTTGCGTTAGGTTGTGATGATTAAATGAGTTCAAGCATCCAACAGACTTAAAATACTGTCTTAAGTATTGTAAGCATCACTAAATATTATCAATGCAAATTTTAAAGATCATTACAAAGATCAGTCTTCCTATTCTTTTACAGAGAAAAGTCTCTGTAATGAACCAACCACTAATCATTTTAGACTTCTGGGCTACAGAGCTGAATGGAATGCCCTATAAAAAGTTATCAACCATGTTTCATCCACATTCATATTTACAGAATGCCATTACAAGACAATCAGTACTGACAAAAGCATAAACAAGATATAAACAATGATATTTTGGAGTGAAAAAATCTAGTGAAGAAACAGATAGATAGAAAAGTAAAAATAAGCTCAATTCTATGATAGCAAGAGTGGCATCCACTTCCTAAACAACTTGCCTTTGGAAATTCTGTGAACTTTAATAAATGCCGATATTATAGAAGGGCTTCAGGCCTTTTGTTCATAGGGTCACTATGAGTCATTCTCAACTCGAAGGCAATCGACAACAACCATGATAGCAGGTTTTTTTACATGAGTACAAAGAAGACTATACCTGTCAAGTAAATTGTTGTTCTTGTTGTTGTTGTTGTTGTTAGGTGCTGTTAAGTAGAGTATGACTCATAGTGACCTTATGAACAACAGATCTGAACTCTCTCCTATTCTGTGCCATTTTCACACTTTGACACACTAGACTGTTGCAGCAGTCACCATGTCAATCCACTTGGTGGAGGGTCTTCTGCTTCTTCAAAGACCCTCTTCCTGAGCATCACATCTTCCTCTGCAAGGAATAGCCCCTCCTAGCACAAGCCCAATGTATGTGAGGTGAAGCTTTATCATTTTTGCCTCCAAAGAGCACTCTGGCTGCAGTTTCTCCAAGTCATATTTGATTTTTCTTGTGGTCTTAATGTACAGTTCAAACCATAATACTTCTGAAAGAGGAAGAGTGAATTAATATTAATTACACGTGGAAATATGTCAAATTGGAACTTTCTCAATTAACTGGAGACTCAAGTCTCTTCAGATTCAAAAGCAAGTTCCTGAGTCAAAAGACTCCTAAAATGAGACTAAAAAGATATAAGTAGGCAAAATAGCTGAGACTACACGATAAAGACAGACAACACTTTCAGTAATTATGTTGAGAAATAGTCTAATGCTTCAAAAAGGGGTAAAAAGTGAGACTGAAAAATTATATTGTGAACACGTTTTTCCCAATGTTCCTCATAGGATACAAGCAATTCCTGGGCCACAAATGAGATCTATAAAGTGTTTTGAAGAATTTATAGGCATGTTGGGACAGGTGCACAGTTTTTATTTAGCATTTACTTTAGCGTAAGGAAATATTTGAACACTGCCCCAAAATTTAAAAGCTGCATGTGCACTGAGTAAAGGTAATTATGATGAAGAATTTATTGCAAGTAGAGGTTATCTGCAGCATTTTGTACTGATGACATAACAAAAAACCATCAATGGCTCCGTGAGGAAGTTGGGTCAGTTTACTCCCATTTCAATTTATAGCTCAAAAAGCCAATGAAGGGTCATGGTAAGCAGGAACCTGCTCAAAAGGAATGTGTTTTTAAGAGCTTTATAAATAAGAGACTACTTATATTTCAAGATTACTATATCTCATATCTGGTGTTTCCCAAGAAATTAAGGATGCTTTAGCAGAATATTAATTGATCCAGAAACTATTGAAAGAAGATGGAAAAAGTAAAGAGTCACTATATTGAAAGGAATTGGCAGACACATAAGCATTTCATGAAACAACATATGAGCAAGAGCCTATGATGAAGAAGGAAGAATTTCATGCTGCTTTGAAGGAATTAGCAAAAAATATGGTCACACGGATAGTATACCAATTGATATATTTCAGCTAACAGATGCTGCCCTGGATGTGCTCACCAAGTTGTGCCAAGAAATCTGGAGAACAACCACTTAGCCGACCAACTGGAAGAGATCTATATTTGTTCCCATTCCAAAGAAAGGTGACTCAACAGAGTGTGGAAACTACAGAACAATATCATTGATTTCACATGCAAACAAGATTCTGCTGAAGATTATCCAAAAAATGACTGGAACAGCACATCAGCAGAGAACTGCCAGAAGAGCAGGCTGGGTTTAGAAGGGGTTGTGGTACTAGGAATATAGTAACTAATGTTAGATGGATCTTAGCTGAAAGCAGTAAATACCAGAGGGATGTCTGTGTTTCATTGATTATGCAAAGGTGTTTGTGCGGATCATAACAAACTGTGGCTGACTCTGAGAAGAATGGGAATCTCAGAACACTTGATTGTGCTGATGTGAAACCTATATGTGGACCAAGAGGCAGTCATCAGAACAGAGCAAGGAAACATTTCATGGTTCAAAATTAGGAAAGGTGTACACCTGGGATGTGTCCTATCTCCATACCTTTTCAACCTATATGCAGAACAGATTATCCAGGAGGCTCGGTTGTATGAGGAGGCACCAGTGGCATCAAGACTGGTGGAAGATTCATCAATGTGCGTTATGCCAATGACATTACCCTGCTTGCTGAAACTGAGGAGGACATGAAACGCTTGATGCAGAGGGTCAAGGACTGTAGCCTTCAATATGGATTCAGGCTCAATATCAAGAAGACCAAGATTCTCACCACTGGGCCAATTGGCAGCATCAATATAGATTGTGAGAGATTGAGATTGTGAAAAGCTTTAGTTTGCTTGGCTGCACAGTCAAAACTCTTGGCACCAGCAGCCAGGAAATAAAAGACATACTGCGATGGGAAAGTCTGCTGTTAGAGATCTCTTCACTCTGGAGACTAAGGTGCGTCTGATACATGCCATGGTCTTTGCAATCTCTTGCCATGCATCAGAGAGCTGGACAATGACTAGGGAGGATAGAAGGAGAATTGATGCCTTTGAGCTGTGACGCAGAAGAAGAGTATTGAATGTACCATGGACTACTAAGAAAACGAACAGGTTCACCTTAGAGAGGGTTAAACCAGGCTGCTCCTTAGAGGCAAGCATTCTGAGGCTTCGTCTGAAATACTCTGGACGTGTTGCAAGGAGGGAATGATCATTGGAGAGGGATGTCATGCTTGTGAGAGTGGAACGACAGTGCAGGAGGGGAAGACCCTCTATGAGGTGGACTGATTCAGTGACTGGGATAACTGGGGTGGGGGTGTTGGAGACAGTGAGATTGGCACAGAACAGAGCAGTGTTTAGAGCTGTAGTACATAGGGTCGCTATGATTTACAAGCAACTCGACAGCACATAACAACAATATATCTGGTGAGCAGTAGTTACAATGCAGTTTCCTGAGTCACACTCCAGATGAGAAGATTTTTACATTATAGGTTTCAAAATTCCAGGAAGAAAGTCCAAATATATGGTCTAAGAAGTTATATTCCAGGAAATGCTTGGAATTTTTATAAACACTTTGAGACTCATTCAGTGGGAAACCATTATAAAGTTTAAGCAGAATAGGAATAGATTTGCACTTTCTATTAATGATTTTAGGAGGATGATTAATATGAGATAAAACTGAAGACAAGGAAGCTATATATATAGCAAAATATCCAGTAAAAAAATTACAAACTTTACCAGGACAATAGCAAAATGAAAGGAGATAAGAAAACAGAAGGATGTAAAATATTAAAGTGTTTACAAATAATAATTCTAAGTTTTTACACATCATGGAAAACAGGAACTGAGTGATAAATAAGCAGTTTAACCAAAAATCATGTAAGCTTCTATGTAGATTTTTTCAAGAGTTTAAAAATAATCTATTATGTAAATTACCTGTCATATAAATAAGAATATTGCTTCTATCATCAGAGAGAAGACGTTTTGACCGAGGAGTACTAGGTGGGATTCTCCCAGTTAATACTCGCAAAAAATTTTCTACAGTTACCTGAAAAACACATGAGAAATTAGATGAATTAGAACTTGGGGTAACCTGATAAATTATTTTTCTTTTTAGAAGCATTTCACATTTTCCCTGTATGTATTATTGTGCTTTATAGTGACGTTCAAGTCAATTCCAATTCATACGGCTCCACATGTATAAAGTAAAACTATGCTTGACAACAAGGTTTTTTTCAAGACTGTCACTGCTTTCAAAATCAACTCTGAGTAAATTTAAGCTTCCAAGTTTTAGTCAGTAGTCCTCCCTTTGTGCTATCCAGGAACTTCTCTCTATGTATAACACATTGCTATTAAGTCAATTCTAACTCACAGGACAAAGCAGGAATGTCCTACAGGACAGAGGAAAATCTTTTGCAGAAGCAGACTGCCACATTTTCTTCTACAGAGTGGCTGGCAGATTTAAACAAGAAACCCTTTGGTTGGTGCTGTGTGTGTATATCTGTTTGTAGGTCTATATATGTCTCTCTGTGTGTGTGTGTGTGTGTGTGTGTGTGTGTGTGTGTGTGTGTAAAATGAACAGTTTAGTTCACATTTTTCCCTAGAAAACAGGAAGTATTAAAGAATTTTAATAAGATTTCTTGTTGCTAATGAAAAAGGGACATTTTTGGTATATGTTGGTGGCCAGTAAATAAACAAGTAAAAATTCATTCACACACTCATCTATCTAGTCATTGGATCAGTGTTTCTAAGAAACTATCATGGATCATAGGAGACCTTGTGTAGGTTAAATGTTGGGTTAATAACTGAAAGGTCAGCAGTTCAAACCAAGAAGCCACTCCACAGGAGACATGAAGTAGTCTCCTCTCATTAAAATTTACCACCTTGAAAACCTAACAAGGGTTGACTAAGAGTTGAAATTGACTAGAAGAGAGTGGGATTAAGGGTCACGAAACAAGATATAAGAGCTTACAGTCTGGTAGGGGGCAAACAAAGCTTTTTAAAAAGGCTTCAAATGGAATCTGAGAAGTGATAAGACAAAACTGTCTTACTTTAGGGCTGCTGTTGTTAGGTGCCTTCGAGTTGAGTCTAACTCACAGCAACTCTATGCGCAACAGAAAGAATCCATGCCCTAACACCACCCTCACAATCTTTATCCTCCTTAATTTGATCACCAAACTCACTGTGCCAATTCATTCCTTTAGAATACTTACTGAAATGGGAAAGAATAAGCTAAGAAAGCTTCATGGAGGAAGACTTCATATTTTTATATATTTACAATCTACTGCTGAGTTTAAAATCAAGCTTCAAAAGGAGAAAATATAATAAAATGCTATCTTTTACTTTCATCTTTTCCACATACATTTTTATTTTTCAATTATGTATGTATAAAAATACTGGAAGCACATTAAAAGTAGTTACTTATTAGAATTATGAATGATTTTTTTTGTGATGTTCTAACTTTTCCTACAATTAATATTGTTGTGTTATGTGCTATCGAGTCACTTAGCCCTATACCCTGCTCTATACTGTGCCAATCTTATGTCTCTGACACACCTACCCCATTACCCTAGTCACTGAGTTAATCCATCTCATAGAGGGTCTTCCTCTCTTGTGCTGTCCCTTCACCCTGCCAAAGATGACGCTCCTCTCCAAGGACTTGCCCCTCTTTGCAACATGTCCAAAGTACGCCAGACAAAGGTTCAGAATCATTGTATCCAAGGAGCAGCCTGATTTCATCCTCTCAAGGATGAAACTGTTCGTTCTCCTAGCCCTCTATGTTATATTCAATACTCTTCTCCTGTACCACAGCTCAAAGGCATCTATTCTCCTTCTATTATCCCCAGTCATTGTCCAGCTCTGTAACACATAGCATGTAATTGCAAAGACTACAGACTGGATCAGGCACACCTTAGTCTCCAGACTGACATTGTTGCTCTTCAGTATTTTGAAGAGGTCTCTGACAGCTGACTTTCCAATGCAATTTGTCTTTTCATTTCCTGGATGCTGGTACCAAGAGTGTTGATTGTAGAGCCAAGTAAACTGAAGTTGTCACCAATCTCAGTCTCTTCACAATCTATCATAATGCTGCCAATCAGATCAGTGATGAGAGTCTTTGTTTTCTTGATGATGAGCTTCAAGGCTGCTGTCCTTGACCCTGCACAGCAAGGACTTCAGGTCCTACTAAGTGTCAGCAAGCAGGGTTGTGTCATTTATGTAATGCTGATTGCTGATAATTCTTCCTCCAATCCTGATGCCACATTCCTCCTCTATAGCCCAGCTTCCTGGATAATCTATTCTGC